GAGTGGCTTTGCGGGGTCCAAACTTGGAGCTCCAAGTCGAGCAAAGCGAGCAAACGACCTTCCAGTTCGACCGCCGGGAGGTCAAGCCAGGTATTTGATTTGGAACCCACGGCCAAAGGAGAAAGCACCAATTGACCACCTGGTTCTTCAAAGTGACCGTACTTAATGATTAAGTCTCCGAGTAGGGTCACTGGATGGAACCTTCAAAAGGTCACGAACTGAAGAAGCTGGTGTGGTGCTCTTGATGCATGAAAAACAAGGAACTGATTAAAACTGCCATAATTGCAACTGGAGTCGTATTCTGAACTCTAACGTTGATGCAGATCGATGTCTTCCATTGTGTTGTTTCAACATGAACTATGTGTCACTGGAACTTGTCATCCCAAGCACGCTTGAAAACCAACACCCCCAAATCGATTCGAAAATAACTGCACTTCCCCTTTCCCTTCCTTTCCCCTTCCTGAGTCTCCGACTGAGCTGCTCTTCTTCAAAGCTGTCGCTCTCCAACGTCGTCGCCGCCAACGTCGTTGCTCCGTAGGCGGTACTGGGCGGCCACGAATTGGCGGCGATTAGGCGGCTCGGAGTTCAGTTCCGCTTGTGGTTGGGAAAAAAAGAAGAAGGCATGACTCGATGACCAGGTCGCCGTGGTCGCCCGGACCCTGAAGGTACAGGTAAACCATGGAGTCCAAAGTTCAAACACGCCCGCTCTTTTCCGGTGACCACCCCCCCCCTCTCTACAATCTAGAAGCTGAAAAAGAGCGCGTGCAGGATCCTATCACCTTGGCCAGATGGGACGCCCAACCAGTTCTGGCACAGCTGAAGATCCGAATTTCGGAGCAGGAGCGACACCTTCGATCACCCTCATGAGAGTCACGCACCAAACGACAAAAACGACCGGCCCCCAAACCCATCCCATCCCATCCCCCTCCCCCCAAAACCTACCCAAACTGTCCCCCCAGTCTGGCCGCCCTGGCCGGCCCTGGCCTCACCGAAAACTGCGGCGAACCCGGCGCCGAGAAGCAGTTGGCCTGGCCGAAATAGCCTCAGCCGCCGGCCACGGCCTCGGCCCTTTACCGAGGAACCGTCCGCGCGCGAAGGAAGGGCCCTGGCGGGCACCGGGGGGTTGCTGGCCCTGGTGTCTTTTCTCGGGACGACAAGCTGCTCCACCCCGAAAACAGATGAATCAACAAAAACAAGTACCTAGTACCAGCAGTCACGTGGAAGACCGGGGTGCGATCCATGGAGGTTTTTTGGGTGCCCGGTCACGTCACATCCACTCACGTAAGCCAGGGGATCCAACACCACCCCCTCCTTTGTGACTCCTGGGACCATAGACCAACGTTGGAGTTGGTCTGCGGGAGGATCGAGTCGAGTCCTTCCTGGAAGGTGCAAGAGTCGATCCCCGTCCGGTCTCGGTGCTGCGGGAGATGGGGTCGAATCAGGTCAAGTCGGTCCATGCGGAGCCCATGAGCCCTGACATCATGTATGTCCTTGCCTACCCCCTATCTGAGAATTGGCGAGCATCATGGGAAGTGGACCTGCCCTACAAATCTTCAGGCTTATAAACAAAGGAGACAACCACAGGGGTAGGGTGGGGACCCACATGATGCAACCAAACTGCTATGCAATCCCGTGAGCTTCTGCTCAAGAAGTGCTGCCAGCCTCAGCCATCTGTGAGTTCTGCCAGAAATCGCCGCAAAAAACAATGGCACCCGCCGTGGGCTCTTTACCGACCAACCTGTTGCTTTTAGCTGCTTGCTGTGTCCTTTTCTATTAGCTGCTCCAAGAGGCTCCAAGCCGAACCCTGGTGATGAAAAAGCTACATTCAACATATTCAACAACCAAACCCGTGGTCTGCGCCGGTCCGACGTCCGAAGCCCCGAAGACCGATCCGCTGCAAGTGACCGAACCGTACGCGTTCGAGGTCGCCCCGGTGGGCCGCGCTGCTTGAGGCCCCCACCTGCTCATCCTGGGGCGAATGGAGACGTGTCGAAGCAGGGCACGAGCGGCATCGAAACGGTGAAGTCAGAACCTCAAAGCAGCTAGACTCGCGCCCACGGCCTCAAGTCTGGGTTTGCATCAGTGTGAAATTCCCAACAGTGACCAAAACGGACTGTGGTTGCTAAATGTGTGAGCTGGGATCTACTTGCTCTCCGAACTTTTTGCGAAAAGTCGAAAAGTCAAAAAGTCTCGAAAAGTAAGAAAAGTCCCGCTGCGTGCTTTCGTTTCTTTTACCTTGTTGACTTGTGTTCTTTTATATGTTTTTGATTTTTTTGACTTTTTGCGTTTTGCTTGGTGTCTTGCAAATAGATCGTCGCTAAAGGATTTAGCGAGCTTAGCCAAAACCAGCGCCTCCCAAATCGAATAGCGGATTCCATAGGGGTGCTTATTGGAGGGTGGGGTAGGTAGGGGTGCATACGATCCACTCACTGGACTAAAATCCACTTCTTTACAACTGCTGGTATTTGGCTCTTTGCAATGGTGCTTGAAGGGGTCTCCCTCTTCCAACCCATCCTGGCGCCATCTCCCCCGGGCCACCGCGCAGGGGAGAAGGATCGGACGGCCGCAGCACCAGGCTCGAACCCCAAAGAGGCGGCGGTGTGTTGGACGGATCGTGCCGGGGAGGGATCACCGTCCGGCAGGTGTCACCCCCACCCTCCAACCAACAGGGTTTCAAATGGTAATGAAATCGTGAGGTTCCAGCCAAGGCAATCGGTCGCTGGAGGTCCAGAAGCTCCACAAACACGACACCACGTGGAGGGCGGTGGTTCTGACTTTGAGACCGATCCTTCCCTGGTCTGACGAACAAACAGGTGGCTGTTCTTCTCTGAGAGCTGCAGCATGTGGGAATCACGGGGGGGATCATCACCCTGGCTCAACACGGGCCAATCTTGCCAAGGTGCTGTTTCTAACCATGTGGTCTTTTCCCAACCCTCCAGGCCTCCCCTGATCCCGCCCTCGGTCCTGCTCGGCCTCTGTCCACTCCGAGCCCCCCCCCCGAGACCGACCCCGGTCGGACGGCGGGAGCGGGCGGCACGTTCGGGAACTTGAGGTCCAAGGTCTGCTCCGTGGGGACCTTGGGTCCCAACGGTCTGCTCTGGGAACCCCACCGAAGGCTGCCCAGTCAACGGCTGAAGGGGACGTGACATGATATCCAGAGAGTGCTTCGATGGAGCGGAAGAAATCCTGAACAGGGTTCCTTCTTCCGGAGTCATTCGAGATTCACCGTCTTCTCTGGATTGATATAACTGATCAACATATCCACGGGATCACCACAGAAACCAGCCCCAATCCGCCAAAGGTGTGAATCGGTGCATCTGAAAACCGCATCCCAGGTTCCTTCGAAGGGTCCCTACCTTCCTGTCCACTGCTTCAAATCGTTGATCTCATCGACCTTTGGAGCGCCAAAACAAGAAGATCCTGCAGTCTTCCACCTCTACTCCCCCCCCCAACCGCTCCATTTAGCACTCCCTCTCCTGCCGGTCAGGCCGGTCAGACAGGCATCCCACCCGATCACCCCCCTTGAGGTCCTCCGGCCGCGAGCCACATGAAGATCAACACGGCGACGAGGGCCACACTGGCCAGCGCCACCTGCGTCCAGCGACAAAAGACCGGTTCGGGAACCGTGGGAAGCTGTGGGAAAGCAGAAAAAGGGTGGAGGTCATCACTTCAACCTCTTCAATCGGCCACTCTGTCACAAGATTGGTCGGTTTTGGAGCTATTGAACGGTTCTTGGTTGCTCTTGGTAGCTTTGAGTGACTTCCGAAGAGGTCACCAAATCAGCAAAACTACGTATTTGTCTCACACTGTGAGCCTCCCCTCCCCACAGTCCGACTCCATGCTATGGTGTGACTTGAAAGAAACGTAACTAATGGAAGTGGAAGACCTCCCTGAACATGGTCATCCTTTCTGGTGTAGATTCCAACGACCCCCCGAAAAAACGGATGAAAAAACCCGCGGCCAGTCCGTTCTTGTGTCCGCTGCCAGTCCGTTCTTGTGTCCGCTGCCCACCTCCCCCACTTGGTCCGCCCCAGGCCTGTATGCCACTGCCCATCTCCTCATCACGGGGTCAGTGGGCACCGCACCGAGGTCAAGTTCGGTCGGGTGTTTGTTTCGTGCAAGGGGTCTGCATGGCACGCTGGCGGCACCTGTACCAGGGCCCCAGACTTCGTCTAAGAATTCGACCCGGTCTACCAGCACCACCCGATCCACCTGGTTCGGAGTCTAGGGACACCCCCCCCCTGAAAAGGGACTTGTTCATCCAATCACCTGGTATATACAGGTGATTACAGATTTGGGGGTCCATCCACCACCCAAGGTTTTTTGCGGGACCCAAGTGGTCTAAACAGCCACTCGAAGTTGAAGAAGACTAAGAGGTGTTTACCCAAGGAACCTCCTAGGAATGGCCTCCAACCTACTAGCGATGGCGTCTCACCTACTAGCAAAAGGAACCGCAATAGGGTCATCTTGAACCGCCATTGGCCTCCAACCTCGCATGCTCGGGTCGACCTTCCTTCTCCGAGCCCTCACGCGCCTCCGGACGGAGCTCAGTCTCGTCCGCCGGGGCGGAGGAGGAAGTGCTTGGGAACCGGGGGTGCGTCGCTGTGCTGGGTGCTGTTCTCGCCGATAGCGCGGCCGGGGCGTGGGGTGGCTTTGTTCCTTCCTACGTGGACTCCAGAAACTGTTTTTGGATGCGGGTCGTGGCCCACGCCCTCGAAACTCTCGAGATCTTTCTCTTTCCAGCCAAAACTGCACCAAATCATCCTTCCAAAATCTCAGGCAGAAACTTGGCATGGACACATCCGCAGGACCCTTGTCATGCAACAAACTTCCAGCCTCCTCTTTATGTCCCTCGTCCCTCAAGGCAGGGCCTTTCCCCTGCTCAGAGCCAAGGAAGCTATAGAAGCGATGTTCCACATGCATCGAATTGCTAGGAATTCAGGGTAGGGCTCTGCACCAAACCAACTTCACACATCCTGCAAGTAAAAAGAATAGAACAACCTGGATTCACAACAGGGTGAGTCTTGCGAGCCCCGGCCTGATCTGGGCCATATCATGTGATGGCCTATGAAAAGTTTGATAAACAGTATCGGGACCTATTGTCTCTTGCAAATAGGCGACAATGAACATGTCAACTATACTCAAGGAAATGGAAAAGGAATTGAACCCGGGCAAGATCAGCAAGTCGGTCCTACTCATATGCCTCTGGGCAAGCTCAAAGACTTCGAATTGGAACTAGATTGAAATGATCTTTGGAGTCGTGCTGCAAAACAGTGGCGTTGAGCAGACACGATTCGGAGTGTCCACGGGTGCTGAATCCAGCTCATCTATCAGATGAAAATCCATGTCTGTTTCAACCGAACGGTGCTCGGCGCGAGTCACGGTCGGCCCTTGAGACCGCGGCGAAGGACTCTTCTGGAGGGGGGGAACGGCCTCCGTCGCCTCCGACCAAAGGTCTTCCTCCGTGCGTCGGAGGAAGCCACCGTCCTTCTCTTCGCTTTCCGCCGCACGCGTCTTCCCAAGCCGTCCAAACAGACGAGTTTCATCTCCCCAGGGGGTCGGCTCCTTCGTCTCCTTCGTCTCCACCTGCACTCCATCGGAGTCCTCCTCATGCAGCTTGGGCAAGATATACCACTTCCAAGCAGGCAGCACCATGAGCGCCAGCACGACGGCCAGCAGCAAATTCATCACCGGCACCGGCAGGTGCCGCCCAGGTGTCCGCATCGCCGAGGTGGTGACGCCCCCCACGGCCGCGTCGAAGCAGCGCTCCCAGGAGATGCCAACCAACATGCCCAGCGCCGAGATCACGGTGCGGATGGCGCCATCCACCTCGATGTCGTCGGCGTTGTCCGCCACCTGAAGAACGGGGGGCGAAACGTCCGGGAGGAGGAAGGCAGGGGCGCACCAAAATGAAGAAACCTCTGAAAAAGGTACCCACCCAAATTGTTTCCAATCGCCGACCTACTTCCAGATCTTCCAGGTTTCAGTCACTCCAGCCCCCCCCCACCTTGTCTAAGCCAAAGATCAGTAGGAAGGCCAAACAGGTGCCCAGCAGGGCGGATACCACCGCCTTCATGGAGTCGTCCAATTGGAGGTGGGCGGCGATGGACCAATCCACGGAGATGTGCAAACACCAGGCGAAGCTCATGGCCGAAATCTTCTGGTACCAAGTGGCACCTGGCGATCTTCCGGCTTGGCCGGATCCTGGTACCTCATCGCTGTAAGACTGTAATCTTGGCAAGCCTTTGATCCTGATCGAATTTTCGCTGTACCTACGAAAGGAGGAGGAAGATGTTCAGCAAAAAATCCCCCTCATGCAAATCCAGGAGGTAAGATCACCCTCCACACAATGCACCCAAACTGAGCTCCCCCCCCCAACCTGACGCGTCCCTTGGCGCTCCGTCGCCCCTTCTCTTCCGCCGCGCGCATCGCCGCGCCTCGCTCCGCCCCCTCGGCGGACGACTCCACACTCACGGCCCGGGCGAAGGCGCCGGTTCCCGCGCGGCGCGCGAGGAGGAGGCGCCCCATCTCGGCCAGGCCCAGGATGACGCCCACCAGCAGCAAGAGGGTGCAGGACCACAACGAGTGCGGTGGGCTGTTCTCCGAATCTTCACCGGAGGCCTCGGGAAGCTGCCCCGTGATGCAGAAGCGCAGCAGCTGCACCGTGAGGAAGGAGACGGATAAGGAGATGACTTCATCTTCGGTCTCCGCAACATGCTCTCCCCAAATGACCTCGAATTCATCCTCCTCACCATCTGCCATGGTCTTCTCGTAGCGCCAGCGCGCAGTAGCCTTGTAGATTCCAGAGATGCTGGCAAAAGCAACGATGGGCACGAGAAAACTCAAAAAACTCGGCACCACTTGCTGCAGGCTGCTCCAAGCATTCACAGCAGCAAATCCTGTGACATGTCCAAGCAGAATTCCCCATGCATGGGTATTCAGCTTGATGTCATGCCTTGGTGTTTGAGCTACGGTTTTCAAGCACTGCACCGAACCTAAATCGGACTGAGGAGGGCAGGATGCCAGTGTTTCGGGTTCAGATGGGAAAGGATCTGACGAAGTCAAGTATTTTGTCTGACCATGTTTGAATGTGTATCGCAGTCGGCCACACCTCAAAGAGACTTCAACGTGTGAAAGACTTCCAAAATATTTGCACGACACACTCTGATCACTAACATGGAAATGGAAAACCACCTGTTTGTAGAGGAAAATGACCAAATTCATCCAAATTCCAGCTCTGCCAGGTCACAGATTCTGCTCGGCCGATTCCAAGTGCGCCACGCGCATGTGAGGACTCAACGCTTCCGTAGCGACCCGCGACAAGGACTTGCGCCGCTCTAAGGGGATTTGATGCTCTCCTAAGGCCCCGGCGTAGTATGCCAAAACCAGCTGCAAAACGGCAAACCACAGCAACATGTGTAGCATGTTCACAAGCACTTGCTGCCAAGGCGAAAAGCCACTGAGGAAGTAGAACTCCACAACCCGATTACAGCCTTGGAACAACAAAAGGGCACCAAAAACGCTGGTGGTCGAACTGATCACTTCCCAACTGATCTGTCGGATGTCCGAATCTGGCCAATTCACCAAGTAGAAGGTCGCCATCATAAAGCCCATACACCCCAGAAGCATCAGGGAGATGCATGTGTTTTCCGCTTCCTCGATTTCTGCTTGGTGTTCATCCACTTCGTGAGAACCTGTGGTCAATCCTGGCTCTGCATGTGGGTGTGGTAGCAAGGCCAAGGCCAAAGCAAGGGCCACCGCAAGGAGGACAGAGCGACGGCGCTTACGCAGCTGCGCCATGGCCAACGGGCACGAAAAATGTCGTCCAAAGTGTGCTCAAGAATATGCAGGTCAAAACTTTGTGAACCTTGGACTGTTTGCGCACTGGTTTTGATCTATGGTTTCAAACCATTTTCTTGAAGAGGTGCTCAGGGCCAAATCTGTCCAAATCGCCACAGCGCAATTTTCCACCAACAACCCAACAAAAAATTGAAAAACAATCCAGTTTGGCGACTTTTGCAACAAAAGATACCTTCTCATTGAAAATGTTTGATGTTTTAATATCACGGATACTGTGTTTCGACAGGATTGAATTTGTTCTTTGTGTCATGAAAAACTGGGCACCAACCCAACCATTGCAAACCCACCAATCCAAGCACGGCAAGCCAGCTAGCTACACCAAGTGGCAAAGTGATCAAGGCCCAGCTTGCTGTTGCCCTTTCTGCCTGTTGCCTGCTGCAGCTCTTATGCCTTATGCACCACCACACTCACCACAAAAGAAAACCGCAACCCATCATCATCGCTGCGTGTTTCATGACATTGCAGGTTTGTACAATAGTTTGAACGAGTCAGTGTCTAATGGTTCGTAGTCATGCATTCCGTCAAGTTCTTCACGTTTCTCCCTTGTTTTTGTTGTTGGGGCGCTCTTTCAATCTCGCTTCATTGATTTGGTCAAAAAGGTTCTGCCGCTCTACCCAAACCTGACAGAACCCTCCTGGTACAAGAAATTGCCGCATGAACTGGGCCAGGCCACGGCAAAGTTTCAATGGAAATGTGGAACACAGCTGCGTCAATGAACTGGAGCAGTTGCTGTCTTCCTGTGAAAGTTTTGTTTTTGACAAACATCTTTCGATATACTGCGGGCATGTACATTTTTCTGCTTGTGTGTGAAATCCCTGTGCTGGGGCCAAGCTGGGTCTAAATCTGACACCTCGCCTCGAAGTGAGTTTCACCTTCTCCACACACACACACATTGTTCAACTGCAGCGCTTCAAGTTGGAAGCCAAAACCGACTTGTGGTGAAACCGTTCACCCTCATCGCTCTCACTTTGGTTCTTTCAGGTTTGGCTCTCCGGAGGTTTCCCACAGAGATGAGAGATGCTTGCATTGGTGGTCAAAAACTGACCATTTTCGCAACGTCACTTTTAACTTCTGTGGGAAAGAAGATCTGTATGATGCGCTGCGAAAGGCAAAGCCTCTGATTGAATTCTGCAACAACTGACAATCTCATTCAAACAGGCTGTCATGCTCACCAAACAAAAAACACTCTGTGAAACCTGTTTTTTGTTGGCGGCTTGGGTCTTGACCACACGAAATCTTTAATCTCTTCAGTGGCTGACCTTCGCATTCTCTGCGATAACTGGCAGCAACACTCGTGCAAAAAATCTCTGTCGTGCTTGACTTGCCTTGTCGGGAAACACTTGCAAGAGACCAGACTCACGTTGCAACCCTGGGCACGGAACCACAGACTTGTCTCCCATCCTCCTCAGACCACACTTGTTGCACGCGTGCGGCTGCCAGCAATCGCAAAGAATGCGAAGGTCAGCCATTGTAGAGATGAAAGATTTCCTGCGACCAAGCACCAAACCAAAACAGAAACAAAGCAAAAACACCAAACAAACCACAACACAAAACAAAAAGAACACGGCACCCTCCATTGAGATGAATTCAGTGTGAAACAAAACATTGCAAAAAAAATAACCTTCCCATCGTTCAGTCCCAGAATGTCAGCTTTCCGGCATCGAGGATTGCAAAGAGGCAAGCCACTTCCACCGTGTGGCGGAACGCAGCGAAGATTTGACCAGATGCCAAGCTGTCCAATCAAAGCAACGCTTTGAGCGAGCAATGTGGTGTGCTTACAAAAGCCCTTGAGTTGCACGCAATGCCTTTCTGAGAATCGCAGGCTGTTGAATTGGTTCAGATTGCTTGCGATTGCTTGTGCAACAATTGTTCGTTGCAGACAATTGCAACCCCCCGGCGAGAAGGAGGCAGAGCATTTAAAAGGCCACGGCCACGC